TAGAATGAAATCAGCTAGGGATCAACTAAACCAATGGAACATCTCTCTCTCTCTCTCTCTCTCTCTCTGGCTCCTCTTCTCTCTCTGTGCAACTCTGACTTTCAAATAAAATAAATAAAAAAATCTTTACCAAAAAAAGAGAGAAAATATCATAAAGGCTAGTGAATTTTCTAGTAGTTTAATTTGCACTCTTAAAAAAAAGGCCAATTTCTGAAAAGCCCATGAGAGTATTTCAGGCATGGAAAGCCAAGACACTCTGGCAAAAGATCTCTGTGAGTGAGATCCCAGTGGAAAGAACAGGTCTTCAAAGAAGGAGGTACCTTTCTCTGAAGGGAGGAGAGAACCTCCACTTTGACTATGACCTTGTCTAAACAAGATAAGAATCGGAGAACTCAGAGGGCTTCCATAGCCTTGGAAACTCATGACTGGAGCATAGGGAGATTACTGATGCCATAGACAGGAGTGTCAATTGGTAAAGTCAACAACAGGAGTCACTGTGCACTTACTCCTCATGTAGGATCTCTGTCCTTAATGTGGTGTACACTGAGGCTTAATGCTATAACGAGTACTCAAACAATATATTTCACTTTGTGTTTCTATGGGGGTGCAAACCGTTGAAATCTTTACTTAATGCATACTAAACTGATCCTCTGTAAAAAAAAAAAAAAAAAAGAATTATCAACTCCCAACTTGACTCTCACTGGGATTAAACATGACAATAGGTCTGATCTGATTTCATCATCATTTAAAGAAAATCATCTATTATTTTTCACTTTATGTTTCTGTGTGGGAGCAAACTGTTGAAATCCTTACTTAATGTATACTAAGCTGATCCTCTGTATATAAAGAGAATTGAAAATGAATCTTGATGTGAATGGAAGGGGAGAGGGAGTGGGAAAGGGGAGGGTTGTGGGTGGGAGGGACGGTATGTGGGGGAAGCCATTGTAATCCATAAGTCGTACTTTGGAAATTTATATTCATTAAATAAAAGTTAAAAAAAAAAGTCCAATTTAAGCATGCAAATAAAACAAGCCCTGACTATTTTACTTCTTTCTAAAATCAGAGGTAGCATAGAAAGAATTTTTGTCTTTGCACTTAACATTTCCCAGACCACTGGGAAATATTAAGTTAAATGATTTCATACATGGCTTTCCTTGCTAATAGTTATTTCAAAGAAAAAAAGTTCACTGTGATTAGAATGCTTAAGAAAGTGTTGGTCAATTAGAGCACAAAACTCTTTTCCAAATTGTGAACAATGTAATTGTTAGCAGTTAAATAAAACATGATTTGCAACTCAATGACATTTTAATCTTTTCATCAAAGTCTAAAATGATGTATGTGCTTGAATCACATTACTAATATATTCCTTGGTGATACATAAAACCTCTTAGACTATTCCCATTTATGAATAATGCTTTATCTATGGTGATTCGCCATAAACTTTGCAAAGTCTTTTTTTCTTATTAATATAAACTAAAAAAGAACATGTTCTTGGGCCAACAGAAATTTTAAGTTAACAATATGTAAAAACAACCAAAATGTTATCAATCAGCATTAATTTTAGCAGCATCATTTCTTTGTACGAATGCATCATTTTTGCACATAATTTAGCTTTCAGTCTGCTCTTGTAAACCAAATTCAGAATGAAGGTGTCAATTACTTGCATTTCACATGTTCTAATATTTTCTCTTCATGAAATCAATAAAATAAAAAGAGAATGAGCCCCTTTTAGGAGGATCCATAAATTTCAAACCTAAAACTAAATGTTCCTTTAGAAGGAAACCTCTGGAAACACCTGCCCGCCCCTCATGCTCTACCTGACAGAGACCCATTCTATTTTTGAACTTTTACCATATGGAAGTTTCAAATTATACTGATAGATTCTTTGTCAGAACCAGGATGCCTCTTCATACAACAAACACTTTTCTTTTTTGCCATCATCAAATCTTATTTCCTCCTACATCTGATGATGATACCTAGATCATCACCATACTTTCAGGAATGTTATAAATCAACATTCTTTAAAGATTTATTTATTTTTTTGAAAGGCAGAGGGAGGTGGGGGGAGAGAGAGAGAGATTGATTTTCTATCTTCTGGTTAATTCCTGAAATTGCTGCAATAGTTGTGGCTGAGTCAGGTGAAAGCCAAGAGCCTGGAACCCCATCCAAGTCTTCCACAGAGGTGGCAGGGGCCCAATTACTTGGTCCATCTTTTGCTGCTTTCCCAGGTGCTTTAGCAGGGAGCTGGATTGGAAGTAGAGTAGTACAGACTGGGACTGACACTCATATGAGATGCCATTTTTAACCTACTATGCCATGATGACTGTCCCAACATTTCTTTCATATTGCCACTACCTAGTAATTTTTATAACTTTTTTGTATACTGTTTTAATTTTAACATTCTAAAGAAATGATGTTCACACACCAGTAAGTGTTGAACTATATAAAGTGATTGGTATACTTTTCTGATTAAACAAGGGCTTGGACTCAGTGTGTTTCACATAGATGGCACTCAGAAACTTTATAGGTGATCAGTTTGCTGGTTAAGCAGAGTAAAGAATATGGATGTCTAGATACAGGAAATGCAATTTATTTAACATGTCAGAGTCAATAAATCCTGCTTTCCTTGAAGAAAATATAAGCTCATTAAGGACTTTTTGTGCCTCAGAGGTAAAGCCCCCAGACTTCAACACATGATCACATTGCAAATAAGAGGCTCTGTTGGGATGAATAAGGACCCCTGAGTTTTCAAACTCTTATCACAGATGCCCACCTTGATTTCCCACTGGAATTGGCAGGCACAACTCAACATGCAGAACACATCATTAGCTCTGTCCATGGGGCAACTCCTCAACCGCCAGCATGGATCATAAGGAGACATCAGCTGCCACAGGCACAGCATCACCCATGGGGTTAAGGAAAGAGAATAGTGGAAGCACAAGTATTTGCAACAATGAGTGGTACAACATAAGATAGAACTCAATATCTAGACATGTGCTGGGTGGTTCATACATGTGAGTCTCATTGCAATTCTTACTAGTTCATATTTTTAGGAGGAAGAAAGGGACAGAAAGTTAAACTCATTTCCTTGGCATTACATCAGAGGTTTAGCTAGGACTGGCACACAGTTGTGTATGAGAGCTGAAGCCAGATATACACACCTTGCTGCCTACTGGTTCTAGCTTTTCTTTCTTTTTTTTTTAAGATTCTATTTATTTATTTGAGAGTATCTTAGTTTTTATTTATTTAATTAGTATCTCAGTTCCACTGGGATGTAAGTCTACTACATAGGCAATAAATAAGGAAGACAAAATTATCTAGTTGCTATTGGGAAAAAAAAAATGGGACAACAGAAAGTATTGGTACCTATATTTCAAAGCTCATGGGGTTAAGCTTGTCAATAAACTAGAAGTGTATTGTGGAGGACCACATAAAATTCTCAAAACAACCCTGAAAGTCTTTTGTTTGAAAGAGAATGTGTACCATCAGCAGTGGTGTGATTAGCATGTTCTAATCTTTCATGCCACACTGAGCTGTTTAATCAGAGCTCTATCACAGTTTGTTTGAGCATGCTGCCTGCTTTTGAAGGGCAAATTACAAACACATTCCAAATAACAGCATGCAGTTTTAAAAGAGAAAGCATTTATTTTTATTTCCTGAATAATGAGTTTAACATCTTTTTTATATATTTTCGAAAAAAAAAAGACAAAAGTTAAAAGCATTTTTGCTTCTGTGGCTATATGAGAAGGGCACATGAGAATCTACAGAACAGAAAGTTCTCTGTGCTGTGCTGCTCTCTTGCTTGTTTAAAACCTCTTCTGAAATACTACTTCTGTGCATATTTGTATGAAACTTGAGACCTAAGTATATTTCATATGATAATAAGAACAGAGTGGCAAAAAGATGGCCCAAATAGGATTTTGAGAAGACAACATCAAGTGATGCACACCAACAAACTTTGATCAGTTGTCCCAACTGCTTATCTTTAATACACAGGACAAAGTGTCTTTTCACAGATATGTGAGGTTCCCTTTCTGAGGACTGCAGTGCATGAATATATCAGAACAGTTTTCACCAAATAAATATTAACAGAGGAACAATGCTTCCAAAAACCGAATGCACCAGAGCTATGAAAGGTAAAAGGCTTACAGTGGTTGTGATTTGTTTCTCAATTTAAACTTTTAGACATAATTTCATCTGCCCCCTTCCTACAAGAGCTATTAGTAAAGATTTTATGAATGATATTTAATCAACTGTGATGAGAATTTTCCAAAATATCCACTAATGTCCTCATCCTTTCTCTATCATTGTTTATTCATTTCACCTTTGCCACCTGAAGATTTTTCAAAGTACATTTTATAGGCTACCTAAAATGTAGTCGCTTAGGTGAGTTATTAAATTCAAATTCCTGCAGGAACCAACACTTGCTAAGTTAGAGTATCTAATTCTGAAGCCTCAGAATCTGTACATTTACAAACATCCATGAAAATATCCCATTAAAAATTGAGGGCTGCTCTGAGTGATCCTAAGCTTGTCTGCTTAGAATTACTATACTCTTCTAAATGTCTCACTCCAACTCCCACTTTCACTTCTGCCTCCCCTCCACACACAGTCTTTATATGCTCTTTCACTGGTTCTTAATGTGGGATGAGAATTTACTGACATAGTGTTAAAAGTTTTTAAACATTTTCGAGGACATAGACATATGTGTCATCTAGAGATATATTTAGGAGGCATTTACTGGTAGGAATTAATAGAAGGAAAAACACACAACAAATAACTATCCTTAAGCATGTCTTTGAAATGCATTTCATCTTGGTTAACACTTACCTGTTTATGAAAGAAAAAGGCATGAATCAACAGATAACTGAAAATTTGATAACATACATGATCAACATCATCTTTCTCTAATGGATAAACTGATAATAATTTTGAGCAATACATCAAATCCTTACTTGCACCTGGGTAAAATTATAACATTAGGAAAAAAGTAAACTCACCACTTCTTCATGTCTGCATTTTCTCACATTAATTCCATTTATCTGCAATGAGAAGAAAATTGTAGTTTCACATAATATTTTGCAGATTTCTTTGTTTTGATTGCACATATGTAATAACGATAAAATGTGTACCTGAAGAATTGCATCACCAATAAAGAGTAGTCCTGAGAGTTCCGCTATGAATGAAAAAGTACAATCGATTATACAGCAAATATTTCCATCATTCAGATCAAAGACTTGATTAAACCATGGCAAAACTGATGGAGGAAACACAAATTTAAATGTTTAATTTTAAATGTTTTATGTGACTAGCATATACCATAAAACAAATAACATACAAGGAATGGAAATCCAATACAATAACATGGTTCAAACCGCCTTACTTATTGAAATGCTTGCTGGTATGTTTCTATTTAGTTGTATTATTTCAGACCCTTCAGTTGCTAAAACTTGATCATTCTTCTGTTGAATGACCCAATTTTCTCACGTACTCTATTTGAGATGGTCATATTTAATCCATCAGCTGTGGAATTAGCTCCAAGAATTTTTTATAAGTATTATACTTTTTGCTGATTGAAGACAATGGAACAGCTACTTTATATGTATATTGTTTTTTCTAAATGAAACTTTTTTTAACAAAGGGCTGAATAAAATTGTATATGTGAACTGCAAGAATATCTAGCCTTGTCTTCACTGGATGTGATTTGTCTTGTGTGTGTATGTGTGTGTGCTTAATAGGATAATCCTCCGCCTTGCGGCGCCGGCACACCGGGTTCTAGTCCCGGTCGGGGCGCCGGATTCTGTCCCAGTTGCCCTTCTTCCAGGCCAGCTCTCTGCTGTGGCCAGGGAGTGCAGTGGAGGATGGCCCAAGTGCTTGGGCCCTGCACCCCATGGGAGACCAGTGGGAGGCACCTGGCTCCTGGCTTCGGATCCATGCAGTGCGCCGGCCGCGGTGGCCATTGGAGGGTGAACCAATGGCAAAAGGAAGACCTTTCTCTCTGCCTCTCTCTCACTGTCCACTCTGCCTGTCAAAAAAAAAAAAAAAAAAAAAAAAAAAAAAAAAACACAAGGGAAAAGCTACAGAGTCTCTAATTCATCCAGGGTCACTTTTTTCTCTTTCATCTGTGCTCCCCTCTGAGAGAGAAGCTCTACTGTGGAGTGATAAATGGCATGGTCTCAGGAATTACACTCTGCCCCTCACTGCACAACCATGGGGAACTTAAAGCAAGTCATCACATGATACAGTAACAATCGATGATTCACTGTTCAATAATAAGAATTTACAAAGGTAGGGCTACGATATAATTCTCTAAATATCTTACCTCTTTGCTCCTTGGAAATTTTTGAAATGACAACTGGAATGTTATGCTCTGCTCCTCCCTGGAAAAGGAAAAATCATGTATTGTATTTTTTTTTAATCTCAAAAGGATGCAGATTTTAGCTGAAAGCATACACATGATTAATAACATGTTAATTGGGTACCAGGCAGAATTTAAATAAATTTGTGTAATTTCCTCATATGTAGGTAGTGTTCCCATGAAAATCATCTACCTGTTTAGAATTTTGCTGAGACATTTAATAAGTAATAACAATTGTCCCTGAAAGTTGCATTTCTCAAGAGAGATGATTATGTCTTTGAACAGGCTTTGTCTTCAATGTGCAGCAATGCGGACCATTGCAGGGATTCTTTCCTAGGACCACTAGGCACCTGATAATTATGTACTTCCATTAACGGACTATGTTATGTTTTGTCTGTGGCTAAGCACTCTTAGCAGTACAGGGACCTCTCTGGCTGCTAAGTGACCAGGGAGCCCTCACATTCACAGTAGATAAACAAATCAGAATGTGCATATGCATGAGGGAGAAGACACTCATCAGCGTTTCCTTAATTAGTGTTAGATTTCTCTGTGAAATCTCATACTGAACAATTTACAGACTGAAACACACTGCCAAGGGTGTTGCAGTCTTAATTTGTTATTGGACAAAGTAGTGCTTTGTTATGAAAAAAAAAAAAAGAATGGGGAATAAACAAACTGAAGATTTTTAAATTAAATAGAATCAATCCTTAGAATAATTGCAAACAAATTCTATTTCTCCATTACAGTGTAGAGAAGGTAGAGAGTGGTAGTTAAAAAATCAAATAAATACCTTAAATAATAAAATGTTGTATAGAATAGAAGAATGGCTCTTTTAACATAGGATCCTTGAAAAGAAAATCTAAATTCTATGAAGGTTGCCCTATATTAGGAGATTTAAATCTCTTAAGTTTTCCTTGTTTTAAACAACAACAAAAATAATATATATAGACATTTTTCCTCATGGGTGTCTGCTTTTACCATTGATTGTCCAGTGTACTTATATATTAGATAATTGATTTTTTAAGAAAAGCTGTGATATTCAACTTCTTCTTGGCAAGTAGAATCCTTTCTATATTTGGGATATGACAAAGAAACATGATAATTCAAATAAGAAAAATTCTCCTACCAGGGTTGAAATTCAGACACGTCACTGAACTCTCCTTTTCTTATAGTCTCCTACCAATCCATTAGCCATCCTTCTGATCTCCACCACTCTTTGGCATAGGCTACAATGGTCCCTAACACTGGCTCTGTTTTGAATATGTATGGTCCTAGCAAGCCCTGATACTGCTTATGATAATCATGCCTTTCATGAATACAGGAATACTGAATTGTGACTGACAGTATGATAGACATTAGGTGCTTATTCAGCACACAGTAAACACTAAATAAAGGGTAGCTGTCATTCTACTGCAGTCTATCAAGATTTGTGTGCAAAACCTCATGGCATTAAAATGATAAATCATAATAGGACTAACCCACTCTAAGACTCTTATTATTTATTAATTAGGACTTCAATTTCCTAATCCTCTACATATATTCTGTTCTATTTTTTTCTCATTGTATTTCTCAGCTGCTAATCTGCTATAATATTTATCAATTTGCTATAGTTATTATTTATTTTATTTCTCCTTTTTTCATCCCTAACTAAAATGTAAGTTCCTTAACAGCATTGTGTTTTGGGGGAGTTTGTTTTGTGCATTGATGCAAACCCAGTGCATAGAATGATCCATTTTTTATCACTGAAGTATTTTTTTAAATGAATGAATGAGGTTAAAGATTTTTCCAACCCTATACTATGGTTGCTGATAGTTTCTTGAGGTTGGGAAATTAAAAATGTCAAGAATGTATCTACATTTTTTAAAAGAAAAAGCTGGATAACACAAAAGAATCATCAACTGATGATGTTTTAAGCAGAATAGAAAGAGGAAATGACTCAAGCATAATATTGGATTTCAGATATTTTGAGGCAAGAAGCAGCATTGTTTTGCCAATCTCATCAGTGTGGCTGTCATCAAAGCATTTCCCTTCAGCTGTTTTGCAATTCACAAATTCCTCTTGTTCCACTATGGAATCCAGAGATTTTATTAATGCTCAGATTTTGAATCCAAATTATCACAGACAATGAGAAACCTGTTCTTTGGGTTCTTCTACATAAAATGCTGTTCAGACAGCAATTTCCTACCGTCAACTCAACAGTCTCATCCTATTTTCACCACCTAGACATGCAGCTATCCTGGAAGCACAGGTTGGAAGTAATCTATATTTTGCCAACATTTTTACTTTACAGGCAAAAGGCCTTCAAAAATTTCCATGAATTCAGTGCAAACTTTTTTGTTTGTTTGTTTCTATTTTTAAATCATACATTTGGAGCTCTAAGAGAATTTTTAAACTAGTTTCAGAAAATGTTTTTACTGATGAAAAAGAAAAAGTTAAGACAAAACTCAGAGGGTACAATGGGAACTGAAAATTTTAGTACCTTGAAATGTCAGAACATCCCAGCCCTGTTAAAGTTAATTAGATTTAGCTTAGGAGCTAAATGGGGAAATCTAGTCTTCCAGGCAAGAATCAAATACTGTGCCTTTCTCTGTTTAAGACAGATGATAAGATTCCCATTGCACTTACGATCAATATCAAAATCCTTAGCGGTCCGTGTCCTGTGGCCTCAGCCGCCTGTGAAGTTTCCTCATTCTGAGCTCTAAAGGATGTCAATATTTACTTAATCCTGGTCTGGAATGTTTTGTCTTTCCCTTTTAATCTACCTGGTTAAACTCCTCCGTATATTTGAGATTTTGGCTGAAAGATCTGTCCTTTGGTGTTTTATTTAAAGTAATTCATTTGTGCAGCACTTGATCATGGTTGATTCACATCTATTTATCTGACTAACAATTGCATGAAAGTGTACATTCTCAGTAGTGTGTAAATGTCCTGAGACACACCCCTACCAGGAAGGAATGTCACATAATTATGGTTTAGAGGATGCCTAAGTTAAATGGGCACTGTTAACCCAGCGTGGGAGAGGATCCAAGAGTATGAAAAAGGAAGCTTTACTATAAGGTGCACCCAGATAATATTAAATCAAATATCATCCAATTTTGTAACATTCATTTTATAAGGCAGTGCTGATGTTATAACTAGCATTGTAGGATCAAGGTAGTGGAGTCTCATGTAAAGCATTTTAGAAATAATTTTGCCAATGTAACTGTGAAACAACACTAAATCAATCCTAGAATGCTTTAGAGAATCTTGACAAACCAATCTTTTCAGTTCAACATTATCATTATTTCAATCAACCCATCAATCATATTCTAGGCTCTGAGGAAAAAAAGATGAACCAATTCTTTGAGCTTTGTCCCATTTAGGGTAGGGTAAATTCTTGCAAGCAGAAAATAATAACTCAGTAATTATGGTTAAACGCCAAAGCAGACAGGTTTAGGAGAAGCACCAAAGGGACACACCTGAAACGGTAGAGGGAAGTACCACTGTTCTGGATGCTGTCTGCATTTGCCCAAACTATTGAAGTTTGCTGTTGACAAAACTTAGTGGATTTTCCTGTATACTATGGTTGCCTTATCTGAAATCTCAAAACCAAGAAATCGATATTGACAAAAAGCACATCAGTAGCTGTTCAAGGCTGAGATGGGGGAGACCTGGGGACAAAGGGTGACAGCTAAAAGATAAAATACTCTAAAATTAACCCTACTGATGGTGGCATATATCTTTAGATAATACCAAAAACCATTGAATTGGGTACTTACTTTTTTTTTTATGTTTGGCATAGAACATTCTTTTTTGTAATTTATTTTATTTGCATACATTTCATAAATACAACTTTGGGAACATAATAATCTTTCCCATATTCCTACCCTCCCACCCATACTCCTATTCCTCTTCCTCTTCACTCTACTGTTTCCAATCTTGTTTTTTACTAAGCTTTATTTTCAACTAACTTTATACACAGATTAACTCTATTCTATGTAGAGTTCAGCTCTTTATATGAGGGAGAAAAAGAAAAAAGAGGGAGAGAAAAAAATCAAAACAAACAAGCGAAAAACAAACAAACAAAGCAACAAGAACAAAAGCTATTCCTCTACAGTCCAGACAAGGTCTGTTCAAAGTCATTGCCTCTGCATGGTACTTTTGCTTTCTTTAATTTTTTTTGAAACGTAATTATGTTTAAAGAGAATCTAAAGAATGACACATATTTTGGGAACACTTAGACTTAACTATAATTTTTGTGACATAAGAATATCCTCTACTTATTACACTAAAATGAAGAAATTCTTTGAGAACACATTTTACTATTAAGTCTCACGCTACAACTCTTCAACAGAGGTCCTGCATGGGAAGTTAGTGCACAGTGACTCCTGTTGTTTATTTAACAATTAACACTCTTATGTATGACATCAGTGATCACTGGAGGCTCTTGACAAGAGCTGCCTAGGCTATGGAAGCCTTCTGAATCCACAAACTCCATCAGTATTTAGACAAGGCCATAAGTAAAGTAGTTTTCTCCTCCCTTCAGAGAAAAGTACCTTCTTCTTTGATGATCACTTCTTTCCATTGGGGTCTTGCCAACAGAAGTCCTTCATGTAGAACATTTTTTGCTAGAGTATCTTGGCTTTCTGTGCCTGAAATGCTACTTTTTCAGACAAACCAGAATATCTCAAGGATTCTGAGGTCAGAGTGCTACTTAAGGAGATTGTCATTCTGTGAGTCTGCCGTATGGACTGCTTCCCATGTTGGAGCATTCACTCTTTGAATTCTGTCTCTTACTATTTCCAAACCCTTAGTCCTATTTATATAATCACTTTAACACTTGATCCTGTGTATATGATCACTTTAACACAATTTATCCATATGATCTCTGTGACATCACCACCCAGCTTAAGGGGACTTGGGGTCCCAAGGCAAATTTTTAAACTGTACCCTTAGAAGTAGGTCTGTAGAAATGTTTGCAGAACTATACTGCTTTACAGTTACAAACTTCATACATGTCCAAATTACAACGTTAGTGTCATG